GGACAGGTGGATGCTCCCCCACAGAAACATTCCTCCAAACCACATACTGTCAAAAGTATTTGAATGCCAGCCAATTTCCCTCCCTATCGAATGGGGTGATGGACTGTCTTTTCAATTTGTATATCTGTCTTTTCAATTTGCTTCTCCATATTGGGGAAAAAAGACCAAAAGATTTCATGGATTCCAAAAGGTAAATCAAAACATCATCTGAGTCTAAAGAAATTTTACTTTCTGTGGAGTCATCCACAATTCTCACGGCTTGTAGTTCAATAACATTGGCAAATAATGAAGAGGGAAGAGGTCTCCTCTGCCTCATGCCCCCTGGTGAGGAGAAGGATTCTGAGTTCAAGTCATTGACCCTCACAGTGAAGTTGGGTTTTATCATAGAGTTTTACGAAGCCTTTTCAAGAACACTCCATGGAAACCCATAGCCTATCGACCTTGAAAGGGTATAGACATCGTCTCCAGTCAAAGGCCTTGCCCACAAGTAATGCTAGGACAATGGCTGTAGAATTCCAGAAGGAGTTCAGTGCGCGTCTGGATGTTGCTCCCTCCCTCAAACATCCATGTGCGCACAACACAGACTTCCACCTCCAGTAGTTTAATGCCACCATTGGAAACAAACTAATGACTAGATTCAACGTTGGCTGGAATGACCTCTAGCAATGTTCAGTATATCCGCGTTGGTTATTGCTTATTAAATCTAGCTCAATTATTATTTATTAGACACAGTTCAGTTATGTTCTTAAGGGATTCTTAGTAATGAGTGGTCGTTGCTCTGAATTATTCAGTTTTGTCTGATCTGTAAGGTCCCTACATACAAAAGATCTTCAGTGTTGAAGTCTTATTTTATAGGTAGCACCACAATCCACAAACTGCTGCTTGGCTACCACTGAGTCCTGTAGGTGCCTAAACTCACTCTGCACCTATGGAGTTGCCGTAAACATTTTTTAAGTGCCTTCGTTTCTGCTTCTGGGCATGTGCTGTTGCCTTACTGTAGGCATCAGGATCTCCTATCTCCTGCGTAACCCACAGAACAGACCTCAAAATAGATTGTTTCTGAGACCTAAATCTGTTTGTAGATCTGGGCCTAAATGATTGCATAATTAAATCACCTCACCGAAGACGTCCTTTGGTCAGTATACCCTTTAGTGCTGTCTGTCGGCAGGTCACTGGGATCTTCATTAGGTAGGTAGATAATTGTTAAGCCCCTATTTAGCCTCTAATACATACCTTGCTTCCAGCTGAATCTTCACTGTGAGTTAATATTTTGAAAGAGGCTTCAGGGGGTAGCCGAGTTAGTCTGTACAGGAAAAAACAACAAATGGTCTAGACTTTCGTGGGCACAACTTTCATGGGCACAGCCCACTTCTTCAGATGGTCACAATCCACAAAAGTGGCTGTGCCCACAAAAGCTCATGATACCATCTACATGTTTGTTAGTCTTTAAAGTGCTACCAGACCATTTGTTATTTTGAAAGAGATTTTTTTAGTATGAGTACAGCTACTCCTTTTTCCCAGGATGAGCTGAACAAAAGAAAATGTCATCCACATACTTCTATTTAAGTTTGATACACTCTGGGTCAATTTGAATGAGTATGAAATGCCACTAAACATGAATTTATTTCTATAAGAATTATAACTTTCCTTTTCATGGCTTTATTTCATCTGTTAGTATTTGGTATAATTTTATTAGTTTGTGATTTAAAGTAGATGAAAACTTTTGTTGTTATTGTTTTCCTCAGTTTCTTCTTTATACTTCTTTTCTTCTCCAATTTGAGTTATATGAATTAATGGCCCTGAAAAGCTGCACAACAAAAGCAGCTGGGAGATATCTGCAAACACTACATTATATGTTCAGAGTCAGACCAACTTCCGCTTCTGAGATTGATGACCCTGTGGAATTTTCACACTTACCAACACACTTTTACATATTGCTTTGCCTGTTCCAAAATGTACTGCTTTTGTACTAAATTTCGCTTTGCCTTTCCTGTGCCAAAGAAATGTTTTTCCTAATCTCTGTTGTTCCCACATTCTCTTGGCATGCTACCTGGTTTCTCTTACTGGGAAATGTAGATCACCCATGGTGTCATCCTCTTCTCTAGTTCAGAGCTAATGAAGTAGATATAGACGTAATTACTGTTGCCACCTTGGTTTGCTAATGAGATAGCAGCAGTGGCATAGTCAGAAGGGCCCACCTGGGTTAGCCCCAATTTTGGGTGTTCGGGCAATGGGGGGGAGGTAACCGCCCCCACACTCCAGCCCTACTTCCTGGCCAGAGCACCAGGCTGAATGGGGCCAGCCCTCACACCCTGGCCTGCAAGGGTGGGCCTGGATAAGAAATGGGTGGGCCATAGCCCACTCAGGCCCACCCATGACTACACCACTGCTCGGTAGCTGGCAAACAGTTGAATTCCTACTCCTTTCTCTCCCTGCCCTGGGTCATGCTAGAGATTAAAATTCTCTCAGTTCCTCCACAATGGGAACTGCTATTGTTTTACTGGTTTTGATGTTGTTGGAATCAAATTGGGTGGTGGTAGAACTGTGAAATTATTTCACCGTCTTGTTGCAAATCTACGTGTTATACTGGTAATTGTACTTTTTGTACCTCCCCAAATTTGGCATAGTCCACATCCCCACTGAATGACTCCAGTGATTTCAGTCAATGTTGGCTTGAACCCCACATGCAGAAAGCTTATGTCCGAGGCACTACAAAATTGTTACTGACCCCTAATGTCACTAGAATTGTCTTTTTCTTCCGGAACCACATGCTACCCCTTCATATCCTGTTCATTTGATACATTTGCACACTCTTGTTCTTGCCTGTGCTCATTGAGGAAAAACTTGAATGATCTTCCTTGGAGCAAACAGGGAATGACAATACAAAGTGACAGATTGTTCTCTGGGGCAGAGAATAATATCAAATCTAACCGCAACGTACCGTCTTGGACATGCTTGGACCCAAACACACCTGGGTTCCCCCAGTTCTTCTTCATGCTCCAGAATTTAGTAGTAAACATCATCTTTCCCAGCAGCTGAAATTAAGCGTTTCTCCATTGTGGATGAAAAATGTCATTTGACAACTGCACCCATTTACCTTTATAAATTCCACATAAATAGGACTCCATTATGCCTCCCAGGGGATCAAAGGAAGGTTGTGCTGATACTAAAAGCTAAATGGACCATCTGTCTTCTTAGTGGTTTGCACAGATTCCCATCCTTCTTTGCTGATGGCGAAGTTGCTAGTGTATGGATAAATATGCAGTACCCCTGCTTACTACAAATCATTGCTAAATTCTACTGACAGGTCTCCATACTCTTACCACAGAAGTTGAATAAAGATCAGGCTGTTGCTATCCCTTCCCCAAAGAGGGAAGCAAGGAATGGTGATTTAACTGTGGCGTTTGTAATGTCACAGTTTCTGTTCCAGTGAAAGCATTCTGTAAGCTTTATCAAACCCTTCAACTCACTCATCCTGGTTGGATGCATTTGATTTAGCCCTGCTGACAGTGATTTGCTCTTTCACTCACCATTGGGAGGTGCTGGCAGAGAGGTGGAACAGATGTGTGTAGGGACATAGGTGACCCATGGTAGCACTGGGGAGCACCCCCTTTGTACGCCTGCCAAAATTGTGGTTGCTTAAATGAAGTGCCTCTATTGTCCCCTCCCTGTCCCTCTGGATGGTCCTCCCTGCTCCCCAACCTCTCACAGGCACCATTTGCTCCTGTGTAGGGAGGTGGCTGCAGCACTGGCAAGGCACAGAATAGACCCCAAAATACAAATACGAGGAGTATGAGTCCCTAACAGCCATCCAAAAGCCAGGTAGCTTTCCCCACAGCTGGGTGCTTGTCTTGGCAACTCAGAAGAAACTTACATTAAGTTAAAACTAATAAGAATGGGGACAGGGGGAAAAGGGCTATGAAGGGATGAAAAAATATTTTTTCCATTTGAAATTTAAAAAAATCAAATTCTGCCAAGTGTCACCATACCCAGTGTGTGTTCTTAATCAAACATATATGCAGGCTCAACACCGCCATGTTTTGAACCGCTGTTCTTCCTGTTTATTTAGAGGCAAATATTCTCATCACATAGAGAGGTCACGAGGGGGACCCAGAAGAGTAAATACAATCGCCTTGTCAGTTTAGGCCCCCAAAAGGGGACTGTTCTTCTTTAAAAGACCAAATTGGACTTTATAGGCCAGATCTTCAGCTGGTGTAAATTAGCATCACTCTATTGAAGTAAATAGAACTACACCAATGAGCATTCTACTGAAGAGCTGGCCCTGTGTTTCAGTGACTACTAATTAATGTGTGTAGATTGTGGTAGCACCTAGGAGCCTCAGCCATGGACTAGGAGTCTGTTGTGCTGGGTGCTATATGTTTTCATGCTATAGTGTACTAGAGTTGGGTAACTTTTGTATCATTTTGGTATTCTTAGCTTATAATTGGTGAAACCTTTGAACTGATGTATCTCTCTCCCTTTTTATACCAGGCGAAACCCTCTTCACTTCCACCTCATTGCAGATGCGATTGCCAAACAGATCTTGGCCACTCTCTTCCAGACCTGGATGGTGCCTGCAGTGCGCATAGACTTCTATGATGCGGATGAGCTTAAGGTAAAGAGAACAAACTCAAGCCCTTTTTGTTTTTTCTTTGTCTGGTAGCATTCTGATTGGCTGACAAAAATTCCAAGCTGTGTGTTTGAGAGCTCACCAGAACTGTGTTTTCTCCAGTTACCATGTTGTATGATTTAGTTCCACATCTCATCCAGGAGCCTTAAAAGTCTACCTGCCTTGCAGTAGGTTTCTTGGCCTTCAAGGTGAATTACATTGAATAACATTACTTCCTTGTAAAAGCAGCACAGTTTTCTTGCAGGAGAGATGAAATCTTAAGCCTCTCTTACTGTGAGCACTCAGCCTGCTACCATGAGGCATGTGTATTAGTAAGGTTCTGATTTTGGAAGTCACAGTATTCTTGGTAATCATGAATTATAATAATATATGAGACCTCTAGAGGGGTGGCTCCTGTGGAGATGGCTCTCTGCTCTGGGTGTTGTGTCCTGGACGATTTGGTCATAGCACCATTTAGGTTTAACATGTCTGCCCCTCCTTAGATGGATATGGAAGGCCAAACTTGTTTGGTGTTGCAACCTAACACCTAAAGTCACAACACCCAGAACAGGGAGCCAGACCCAGCCCTACAGGTTAGAAGCCATTCCTAGAGGATGAGTTCGGAGTGGGCCCGTTTATCCCCCTCTTCCACCACCAACTTGGACTGTGACCTTACCATGACTGGGATTTTTCCTTATACCGCTGACATGAAATTGTCTAAAAACTTGCATGACAGAAATTACCCAGTGCTTAATTTATATGAGGGCTGAGTCCAAGCACTTCTAGGCTTGGCTTACTAAATGTGTGGGGTTTTTTTTGTCCGCACCTGTGGCCTGCTTGCCATATCAGTTATAAAGTTGAACCCTGGTACTTCTTTCATGACAAATTAAGCACTCAGGTCACCATAATAGTACATGTTCTGAGGTGTATTTATAATTTTTAAGACATAGTTTGGGAATTGGAAAAGGCACTGTCAGTGTAAAAAATACTTCTTCCAAACATAAACTAATTATCTTTCCATAGCAGAGTTTTGAAAAGTTTAATTAGATCACAGAGGCTCAGCATTGAGTTTCATAGCTGCATGGTTTTCAGCTGTGCAGATAGATCTGTTGTATTCAAAGTTCAGCATTTGGAGACAGTGGCAGTAATTTGTATATCATGTCAATCTACTTGTTAGTAAACTTGGATTGAGACTCCATAGAAAGGCAAAACCAATTTTTATCAAATTGCTGTTAAGGTACAACCAAATCACACCATTTGCTAGGATCTTGAGAGGAAAAAACCCTTGTGGAAAGAGACGGTAAAAGTGAAAGATGATCCTTGAGTAAAATACTTTATTCATTGCTGTTTTCATTATTTTAATATCTTTTCCACATGAAGTAACAGGCAGATATCAACTTTAGCTAGCTACATACCTTCTTCAGTGCAGAGAAGGGTGTGGGTGTGGGTGTGTGGGTGTGTGTGTGTGTGTGTGTGTGTGTCCCCTACAATAAGTGGAATGGCAGAAACAGTACGTACAGCCGCTCCCCAAGTTACAACCACCTCCACTTGCGACCATCCGCACTTACGACCAAAGGGATCATAAATGCAGATCCGAGTTACGAACGGCAATCCATGCTTACAAACAGCGCGGTCGCCATGTAACGCTATGGGATCCGAGTTACGAGTACTTTGAGTTACGGACCAACTGTTGGTCCATAACTTGTTCATAACTCAGGGAGCGGTTGTATTCATAATCTCTGTTTGGCAAGATTGATCTGCTAGTCTTTTCCTCATTATCCTCTGAGGCTGTTCCAAGCTACTTAGGTCAAAGGTAACAGAGGTCATATGTGGAGCAATTATTGATTGGTACAGAGAGCAGACTATCCCAAGACAGCCAGCCATACTTATACAAGTGTGTGTAAATATGACTTAACAGATAACTCTTTGATAAGCTTAAATACAAAAAGGAGGCTTACAAGAAGTGGACACTTGGGACGTGACTAGGGAAGAATATAAAAACATTGCTCAAGCATGCAGGGGGGCAATCAGGAAGACCAAAGCATAGTTGGAATTGTAACTAACAAGGGATGTGAAAGATAACAAGAAGGGTTTCTACAGGTGTGTTAGCAAAAAAAAGGAGGTCAGGAAAAGTGTGGAACCCTTCCTGAATGAAGAAGGCAGTCTAGTGACAGATGATGTGGAAAAAGAAGTACTTAATGCTTTTTTTGTCTCGGTCTTCACAGACAAAGTGTGCTTCCGGACTGCTGCCCTGGACAGCACAGTGTAGTGAAGAGGTGAGCAGCCCTCAGTGGGAAAGAACAGGTTAAGGGCTATTTAGATAAACTGGACATGCACAAGTCAATGGGGCCAGATCTAATGCATCCAAGAGTGCTAAGAAAGGAGTCTGATGTAATTGCAGAGCCACTGGCCATTATCTTTGAGAACTTGTGACAACTGGGGGCGGTCCTGGATGATTGGGAAAAAAAGCAAATGTAGTGCTCATCTTTAAAAAAGAAAGGAGGAGCATCTGGGGAGCTATAGACCAGTCAGCCTCACCTCAGTCCTTGGAAAAATCATGGAGCAGGTTCTCAAGGAATTCATTTTGAAACTCTTGGAAGAGAGGAAAGTGATCAGGAACAATCAACATAGATTCACCAAGGGCAAGTTATGCCTGACGAACCTAATTTCCTTCTATAAGGTAATTGGCTCTGTGAATATGAGGAAAGTGATGGACATGATATACTTTAACTTTAGCAAAGTTTTAATAATCTCCTACAGTATTCTTGCCAGTAAGTTAAAGAAGTATGGATAGGATGAATGTACTATAAGATCCATAGAAAGCTGACTAGATTGTCTGGCTCAATGGGCAGTCATCAATGTCTCGCTGTCTGGTTGGTAACCAGTATCAAGTGGAGCACCTCAGTGGTCAGTCCTGGGTCTGGTTTTGTTCCACATCTTTATTAATGATCTGGATGTGGAATGGATTGCACCTTCAGCAAATTTGCAGATGGACACAATGCTGGGGGAAGAGGTAGAGAGGCTGGAGGGTAGGTCTAGGGTCTAGAGTGACCTGGACAAATTGGAGGATCGGGCATAAAGAAATCTGATGAGGTTCAACAAGGACAGGTACAGAGTCATGCACTAAGGAGAGAAGAATCCCCTTCACTGCTACAGGCTAGGCACCGATTGGCAGAAAAGGACTTGGGGATTACAGTAGACAAGAAGCTGAATGTGAGTCAACAGTGTGCTCTTGTTGCCAAGAAGGCTGACCGCTTATTGGGCTGCGCTAATAGGAATGTTACCAGCAGATTGAGGGACATGATTATTCCTCTCCATTTAGCACTGGTGAGCCATGTTCCCTCTAAACTTTTCCTTCCATGTGAAGATGTTATACCATCTATGTGCATAATAATTTTATATGCACCAAGGCATGTGTGAATGTGCACCACCAGTAGAAACAAAAACCTTTCTGTCAGCACTCTGCTAATGAGCTGGGAGGCATTTAAAACTCTCCTGAGTGGTCACACAAGCACACAGCTTACCAGGTATACTGGTGGTGAGGCCATATCTGAAATATTGGGTCCAGTTTTGCCGCCCTCCTCCTCTGCAGAAATAATGTGGGCAAATTGGAGAGTTCAGTGGAGGGCAATGAAAATTATTAGAAGGCTGGAGCACTTGACTTATGAGGAGAGGCTGAGGGATTTGGGCTTGTTTAGTCTACAGAAGAGACGAGGGGGGGGGGGGGCAGATTTAATAGCAGCCTTTAACTGCTGAAGACGGGTTCCAAAGAGAATAAAGCCAGGCTCTTCATAGTGGTGGCAGATGACAGAACTAGAGCCAGTGGTCTCTAGTTGCAGTGCGGGAGGTCTAAGTTGGATAACAGGAAAAACTATTTCACTAGGAGAACGGTAAAGCACTGGAATGGGTTATCTAGGAAGGTGGTGGAATCTCCACCCTTAGAGGTTTTTAAGTCCTGGCTTGAGAGAGTCCTGGCTGAGATGATGTAGTTGGTCCTGCTTTAAGCAGGAGACTGGACTAGATGAGCTGCTGAGATCTTTTCTAACCCTTTTCTTCTGTGAGTCTAAGGCTGTCATATTACACAAGCATTTTCACTGATTTCAGGAAACCTACTTGCACCACATGAAATAATACTCAATGTGGATAAATATGATTGTACCCGTGTTTTCAAAGCATCATTGACTCTAGTGGAATTTTAAGAGGTGGGAAGAGCACATGATGCCTATAATGCTAAATCATGTCCAGATCCTCTTTGACACGTCAGGCAAGTTTGCAGTAGAACAGGCCAACATATTTCTGAGGAAGAACAGGATGCAATTAGGAATAGTCTAAGGAACGGAAATTCCAAAACATTTTTGTTTCAGAAAAATCCAAACATTTCACTATGACTTTTTTCCTAAATGAAATGGAGCAGCCAGCTGCTTCCCAACTCTAGACAACTCCATAGGCTGTCCTTCAGACCTGGAGAATTCCCTTGCACAAAGCAGGGGCAGAGAGCCCTGAGAGCACTGTCCTGTCTGTGCTTGAGTTTCCAGGCATCACACTGCAGAGCAAGAAGCCTAGACTGCCCCCTCTAGAACTGTGGCTGCCAGGTAGTCTGGGAGCTCTGGGTTGTCTTATTCTGCTGTACAGTATGGCAGTACTAACTGGAAGCAGTGTGCCCTAGCAATGTGAGTTCCCCCTGAGCCTGCCAGGTTTCTGAAGGACCCCTGCCTTATGTTTCTACATACATTTGTCAAAACCAAGACATTTCTGCAGAACATTTGTTTTTAACCAATTGGCATTTTCTGGAGGGGGAGAAAAAGGGTTTTTCTGATGTTTCTGAGGTAATGAATTTGGCATGAGTTGTCTAGGTTTATTTTTCACACATTTGTGTGAACCTTATTACATTGGTCAGCATTAGGAACTTGTGCAGGTTGTGGAATAATGTACTACAAGTTGTACCATTATCAGAAATGACATGCACAATGTAGTGTGTATTGTGCTTCCTTTTAATGACCCTCCAC